ATGCAGTCAACGTCAAAACTGATGCCGGCTCAACCCGCCCGAGGTGAATGCCATTACAAGTACAAGTACAAATAAGGTAAAGGATTTATGCTTGGTTAAATAGCAACAAGGTTATACGTGTTTGCTGCGTGATAAGTGCGCAGTATAAAATAAATTAAAGCCGTTTGTAATTGTTTGCTGAACTAAAAATATGCGTGATAAGCATGCGAAAAGAACAAAAAAGAGCACAAGAACGATTCCTATTGGTTAAGACTAGATAAATTATCCTATTAAACAACTCATGTCACCATTAGGCAGCATCTGTGCTTATTTCTACCGAAATTTGTCTCTGCGTTTGCGTTTTCAATCATATGGTAAAGAATGGTTTGTGTTCCTCGTTCGACATAATCTTGATCGACTTTGCTGTCCTCACTGCAAAGATTTTCATTTTTTCGCAACTTCTTAGGTTGACTTAACGACCCACTAGGAGTGGTAGTCCCTCGCCTCGTTGACGGTAATTTACCTCGAACGTGCCGTCCTATTGGAGTCTTCTGTTGATCTTTTTCTCGTAGCTCACTTCATTATTTGAGACCTACTTTATTATGCTAGGATTCGCTAGTCTGTTTCTCAAACCTTTTGGATCGATATTACCAGCCAACACTTTGTCAGAACTGCAGTAATACGTTCAGGTCAGCTTGTTAGAAGAAACAAATAAGCCACTGAGCCGCAAAGTCCGACCGCCGGTAGGAGTACCTCATGGGGCCGCCTGGGATGAGAACTTCATTTTAAGGGAGAGAACAAGCGGGTCATGTCATGGAACAAATTAGATCTCAGCAATCCGGTAAAATAAAAAAAGTTGCGAGGGTAAGTTGGGGCGCTTACTCAAACCTCGGGCGGGGCACTTAATTACGCTTTAGTACCATCGCTAACCCCCCCGGACCAACGGCGAATGCGTGTATGTCGGGGGAGTGTGTCCTGACCTCGGTCGAGGTCAGTGAGGTACATTTTCTAGTAGCACCACTAACCCCAACTAGAATGGAGGTTAACGAGTGTAGAAGTTGGCAGATTGTGGAATTCCCCCTATTCAAAATCTTTAATCAAGCGATTATTCCCGCGGTTAATCTGAAACGCGTTTTTTCTTAATGTACTGACCTAAGCGGTTATTGTATGCGGTAGCCTTCCGAGGATCCCTGTGTAGTTCGGTGCCATCATCCAATCCCTACTGGTTCGACGGCCGGCGTGCATAAACGGGAAGATTGTGGTAATTCAACCTACTTATAATTTGTAAGTAGGCGTTTATAATACATAAGAATGATTTTGTGACCCACGAGGTACTCTCACCCGACTGCCTTGCTCTGTTGGACCTAAGTGAGTGAGAAGCGGATTTTTATGTCACGCCAGTCCCAAAGCACCATCACTGCAGTCTTTGGAGGTTGCTAGCTGATGGAATAGCTCGCTCCTCCCCCGGACTGAGGGTGCAGCTCCAATGAATTCTTACCGTGGAGCGGATGGTTTCTTTCACTGGCATGGGATCCAATCACTGTGCGTTATGAGGGGGCGGAGACAGCATGTGCGTTGCACGCAAAAGTGGAAGCTGTATTCTTTGTTATCCGCTACGCGCACTCCCACGTCTACTTGCCCTGATCTTGTCGTGCCATTGTAATGCGCAGGCTGTGGAGCGGTGAGTTAGATCCTGCGCAAGTCCCTTTCAGTGTAAACCAACTAGCATGTTTATTACCATCATACCCTTAGGGACAGTCGTGGTCATAATCGGCTTTAGGTCTT